TTATTAGTAGTATGAATTAGTAGCACGATTTTACCCAGCGCAGCGGGTACCCGCAGCTAGTATATATATATATATATATATATATATGTTGTTTCTATGATATGTCTTCTCTATTTTTAAGCTGAAATCCATAGTTTATACTGTTTACGGTCTCATGCGATTAGGGTTTTCGTGTACTAATGCTTTGTTTCTGTGCGCCACCGTCACAGTGCCAGCAGTGAAATCATTGGCACGGTTAAAGTCGGAGCCGTCGTCGAGGTCAGCATCGCCAGCGCCCTCTGACTCAGCGAAGCGAAAACGCGGCCGCCAGACGCATTCTTCGGCGAGCCCCGCCGTGACGCCGCATCACACGAAGCGGCTGCGGCGAGTGTGACCGAGCGGCGATCGAAAAGTTCCCGGCGTCTGCCACGAGGTGGCGTCGCGTGTTGCTGACACCTGCTGTACATAATAGATAGAGGGGGTTTGTTGCGTGTGAATGCAGCACACCCCCCGTTAATGTTAATGTTACTGTATAGAATGCCGTAGAACATGTAAACAATAGGTTATATCATCGGCTGGTTGCATGGTCAACCACCTCGAATGTAGAGGATCAAGCTAACTGTAAAAACTTAAATTTGAGCTCTTAAGGTAAATAGGGGGAAGTGGCAGTAAACCAACTAGTGAGTCAGGCTATCTGTGGATGGTTACTTCATTGTGTCTGCGTTTCTAACTACATGTACTATTAACACCCCATTATATACTGTTTTGTTATTCTAGCAGGACTGGATGGAATTTAATGGAGGGAGTATAATGCACTAATATATGCACCTCACGAGCAGTAAGTAGGGTATGTTAGAACTAGGTGGGATAAAGCATTCTTTTTGTCTGCACACAAAAAAAAACATTGCAATGATCAATGGCACGTTTGTCTGAAATTTCATAAATAATCATGACTTGTGAGTCTCAAGTGTCACACATTGCATTGCTTTGTACGATACTTCACATGTGAGACAATATGAGATGACACGGCATTGTTTACAACAATAACACATAAACAAGCACCTTACGTAATGTTCGGTAATATTATTTTTATATACACTGGAGTTGGACTCGACAAAAGAGAAAAAAATGTGATTGAGAAAAAATGGTAAATTGTGACAAATACGCGTGTCGATGTGTGTAGTTTGAGGTAAAGAATGTTTATGTGTTGATTGACGTGTGTTTTTGTATCAGTCCTGATCCTTTGATTATATCATGTTCCTGTGATGTCGTGTACATAACAATATGGTATGTGGGTTACTTTACATGACGGTTACACCTTTAACTGGAGGATATACCGTTAACAGGTTTGTGTACGTGTGTCAAACATATGATGCCGTGTTAAAAACCCTTTATTATTTGAAGATAGAAGTTCATTAAACAGATTTGTATGCAGAATTTTGGACTTTTTTTGCCGTAAATGTTCTCAATTTTCGTAAAAGCATTTCGTGCTACTCTCTTTGTATCAAAGGTTATCGAATTCAAACCAATAGTTGTCATTGTTCCTTTACGATAAAGATTATCATGTACACGAAACCATAGTTTTATATTTTGTTTATCTGTTCTAAATCTATTATAAAACTAGTGGAAGAAGGCGTCATATAATTAAATTGTTACTACGTGATATAAAATACGCGATACTCGTGCACACAATCACATGGTTATAAGTCATATCTAATAACACACCGTAGTCACCTATTGAATTAGCTTGTACATTCGAGGTGCAAATACTCGCTCTGGTAATATCTACAAGCCACTGTTGGCATAATGAAAATAATAGGTGAGTAGTAAATTCGTAACTAGCACATGTCTATGCTCGACCCAATGAGAGCATTACAATTCTAGCTTCTATTACTAGAGAGGTAATATCAGCTGAGGCCTATGTATACGGAATTGTTATCTTCATTGTACGTATATGTTCATGATATATAGGGGGATATATAGGGTAGGTTAGAAGCTATGCATTCCCGCCCACACCTAATTTGCGTAATGCCGTGGCTCGTTTTGTAAGCTTAATCGTAGCTGTGAATCGGGTATGCATATCTAAGCAGTGTGCGTGATTGTAAGCCCATCGGACTCTGCCAATTCCCCACGCCAAATGTTTTGATGTCGTGGGGGCCGTCACGAGTTGACACACGGCCCTCTGTGCCGTAGAAATAATACACCTAAATATATAGTCTATCGAGTACGTTTCTATGCCGCCTGTCCTACACAAAGATGGACTTTGATGATGGTGCAAACGCCATTCAAAAATGGTAAAACGCGTCGCATTTTGATGCACATGTGTACATAGTGTTCGTTGTTGCAAATTCTTTGTTGGCGTGTTGCGTGCGTGCGTGCGCCGGCTTGCATACGTTACAATAATATGCGCCACGCTCTGATTGCAATCCTCCTCCCTTCCCTCATCATTCGGCCTAGTTTAAGTAGGAAGCTATAGAGACGAATCGAACAACAGTTCTACACAGAGGTGCTAAACGTGGAGTAGCGTTCGGCCGCAGACCGTGCGCTTATATGAGAAACACGGCACACACACACACACACACAAGCGCGCTCGCGCACATATTCAGTGGACGAGAGAAGAAATGCGGTTTATTTACACAAATTCAATAATCTGTGATACAGATTGGTAAAAATATGTATGCATTTCATCAACATTATTTGTCCACGATTTATTTCTGATGTAATGTATGGTTGAGGAATGCTACCGTAGCGCGGATTGTTACAACAGGTAAATAGATACACCAAACATAAGGGAAAAATCTGACGCAGACAACAATATCTAAATATTTAACAATATTGTTGTACAATATATTATATACATATATATATATATATATATATATATTCCCGATTTCAATCATATATCTCAATTTAGCACTGGCATAATCAAGCACGGTTATTTTGAACTTTATAAATTGTTCATGTGCTCAATTTCCTTCATCGATTACATGTTTAATACGGGAATTTACGTATATTAACTATCCACTCATCGTCATTCGGTCACATAGAGTAGGCCTATATATAGCATGTATTTGTAAGTTGACCAATTAAGGCTAATAATACCCATCCGTATCTTCGGAGTAATGTAAGTCGATGTGAACTACATCCGCGCTAAATTCTGCAACACAATTACATCCTATCAGAAGTAGATAATAGGGAATTAATTTCCTATATTATCTACTCCTGATCCTATTGTTAGTAACTGCCACATTAGTAACTTCAAACAATTGCAATCATTCTCTTACGTATAGAGCACGAATATGTGTGTGTTCTCACGCAGGTGTTATATATGTGTGCAGACCACCGCGTAAGCTTCTAACAAACAACAGTTTTGTGTAATTCCATCAACACGGCGGGCAATGACACACATGCAGCACATAACGTCGTTTATACAATAGACCTGATTAAAGAGACGATTGCGTGCGACGCCTATAGGTGGCATCATATTCCCCGTAATCGTGCTTATATGACCTGAATCCTTTGCGGCCCTGTCATGACGGTGACGGTGGCAGTTCTATGTTATCATCGCCGTCAGCCACTGCGGTTGTCAACGCACCGCTTGTGATGAACGCGTAATCGCTGAAAACGAAAGTGTGCCGTACGAACTCGGCCGCTTCGTATGTAAACTCGGTCGATACGCTTAGTTTCATCGCATGATCACCGGCCGAGTACTCACACGGTTAGAACAGGATCGCTATTGTAAATAAAATTGGCACATTCGACACGAGAGAGAGTCTGTGTATGCACACCCACATATACGCGCACACACACAGTCTCATTCGTTGCCGAACTAGAGCGAGAGAAAGTTGGTAAACGAATTCGGCGCCGAAAGTGAAAATAGTGTCGATAGCAGCGTCGATATACGTTATAGGAGCAACGAGATTTCAGCGCCGAGTGTAAAACTACGATTCGAAATTGAAGCTAAAAATGAACGTCCGCTTATTTCTCTGCGTCACCATCGTCAGCGGCGTCATCGGCAGCAATGGCTACGCCGCCGCAGCTACCGCTGATGCCTACGCGACCAAGGCACCCGAATACTTCACGACACGGACGTAAGTGTAAGCGTGTGAACTATCCGTGCATGGCTTCCGGTAATGTAAGGCGGGCGGCAAGACTCTTTGCAGTCTTGCAGAGCAAATGAGAGCATCAGCTAGCGCCGCCTTCTGCTTCTCTGATGAGAGGTGGAGGAAGGACACGAGTCAATAATCTTCAATATATCATCGGCTGCATATATATTATTTATTTATTTATTTATTCATACATTCATAAATATAATATAATATAATATTTGTGCGTGGTGTCTCGCTATAGGTACGGACCAGTTCATGACGGACAGCTGAGCGGACGCGGTCACAAGACTACTAGAGTGAACGTTGATCTTTACGGCCAGGCTCTAGGGAAGCTCTTCTCACGCGACGATGCCGAGCGCTCAGACTCCAGCACCAAGGTCATCGGTTACCATCTCAAACACACGTACGTCGTACCATGTAGCTAGCCGCACGATTCACGTTCATATCTATACTACAGGGAGATGTAAATACGATCCCGGATAACTTTAATCCCGGTTAATCCCGGTTATCCGGGGTTAATCCCGGATAACTCGGATTTAGATCCTCTTCCAAAAGGTGGTCGCAAATATTTAGTGTTCTAAAATGCAGGGCTTGCACCCCCGGTTATTTTCTCATTGTGAGGACGCGTGACCCTGTACTATTTCTACTCGTCTGCAACGGTTATAGCCATGTTGATTACTATTCGTGTACGGGCGTTGACACCATGATGCTATCAATCAATTGCAAAAACTATATATTATATTTCTTAATGAATGCAATTTTATTCTACATAATTATACGTACTGTGTTTTACTTCCTTCGCATCCTCCTTCCCCCTCCCTCTCTCTTTTTCTCTCTCTTTCTCTTTATCTCTTTTCCTCTCGCTTTCTCCAAATCTCGCTCCCCTTTCTCCCCATCTCTCTCTCTCTCTCTCTCTCTCTCTCTCTCTCTCTCTCTCTC